TAAATTGCAGTTGCAAGGCAAGCAATTGTTCTACAAATTACTCTGAAATTATTCTAAAAGCCTACCACAGAAATCTGAGTAATTCATAATACTGGAAAGTCAACAGGAAAACCAATGTCTGTCAACTGGTGTTTGGAGCAAGATATTGATTCCCAAGTGGAGAAAGGTTAAAATGTTATAGCAACATGATCTGGCACGATGTTTCAAAAACTTACAAGCAAGGGAAATGCACCAGGGAATGCACCCAGGGAGCATTAGGCCGTGCTTCAGAGAAGGCTGGAGTTAAGGGTAGAACTCGGAGGAAATCACAGAGAAAAAAGTCGTATGTCTTTCAGTCCCCAAGGATCTGCCTATGAATTTATAGCCAAGGACATGAACCTCTAGCTTACTTGTGCTTCAGATCTGTCAGAAAGAAACCTTTCCTTATTCTCTTCCACACCACAGATACCACTCCTCTTCATAAACCAGTACTCTGTTATTTCTACCAAATCTATAGCAAATAAAATAATAAAAAAGGAAAATCAGCCTTTATTCATCAGGAGGAGGCAGGAATAGGGTCAAAAAGACTTCATCCCCCTTTGCTTTCCAATTTGACTTTGAAAGAACATAAGATAAGATAAAGGAAAAGAAGACTGAAAGATTTCTGAGCTGAACCTCATAGGCTCAACAAACTAATCAAGGAGAATTTGCAAGAGCTGTGACAGATCTGAAGGAACTGTACAGTGCAAAAGAAACCGAAAATATTTACTAACCCAAAGGCTGTTGTCCACTAGTGTTCTCAACCAAGACGCAATTACTCCCTTCTCATGTTCCAGTGTGATAACAACTCAGTTACAGAATAAACCACAGGAAAGGTAGGGGTCATTACTTCTATGTTTGTATTAGACCTGGCTTCTTCTTAATTTTAACATATGAACCCTGAAACAAATATCCATTTCCTTTGTGCCATGGGAAAAGGAGGTCTTTTAAAGCAGAACAAGTAATTGAAAAAAGATATTTTCTCGTTTTAATAAGAACTAAGCCAACATGATTTAAAAAAACCCTATGTTTTGCAACACCTGTCACAACTTCAAAGAATGTAAAAAGTGGCTATTGAGAAAATAACAGGTGTCAGCCTAGAGACGTGAGGTCCAATATGTGGCAGAAGCACAGCAATTCAGGCAATTACTGTTAAAAGAACACACAACCCAAACCCCCCTCAAAAAGCAAAATGGAAAAAAATCCTTATGACCCACAAGAGTGGATATTTTTAAAACTCCACATTTTCATATTATCTCATAAGTAATATATCATCGAAGTATGCAAAGAGATTCAAAAATAGATTGGAACAAAACTGAGGTTGAGAAATCAAGCATTCAGGGCCAGGAAAAAGAGAAATGAAGATTCATGTTTAATTTTGTGTTTTAAAATATGGCCTTGCAAATGTTGTAAATGGATGAAAACAATGCAAAATGGATCATCAGATAAAAACTGACAAAGCTTGCATAATCTGGGAGAGACTGGGTCTCAGAATATTAAGTTTCCTGGTCATAAAGGATTTAAGGTATCCAAAAGCCTCTAAACTGATAAATCTCTGATAAGAGTCCTGAAAACTGGACAGAGCTGTCCAGTTAGTCCAAAAGAGAACATATTGAGTGACAGAAGCACTGGAGGTATTACAGATCTGGTCCTAAAAACAAATTACAAGGAGGTGGTGCCTTACAATACGCTGTGGATAAAGGGACCATAGCTGAAATCCCAGGATGGCTCATTTGTTATAATTTGTTTATGATTTCATATTTTTGAGTCTACTGTCACTAAATCTCTGCTAAGAGCAGAAATTAAATTCTGGGGGGTTAACAATATAAAATTTCCTTTTCTTTCTTTCTAACTACCCAAGAGGGATAGAGAGAGTAACATCCGATTAGTAACCACGCTTCCTCTGTGATGCTAACTGTGAAATATGTAGCTGGCCCAGGGTATTAACAGGGAGTATGTGCTTGAAGCGTAGAAACAGAGTGGGTTGTCTGAAACATAGCAACAGACTGGGTTACAGGGTCCTCCCTCACTGCTACCTAATTTGGCTTATTGAGGGTTATTCATGGTCTGGGTCCCCTGAGGAACTGTCATGGTGACTCATCTAAACCCCACATCCAGTGTGTTTATCATCATGCTATTGTATATGAGAATAGAACATCTCTCGCTTTAGTGATAGGCAGATGTGCGTTTGATGTTAAGGTTTTCAGGAGTGCTTAAGTAACTTGGACATTTACTCTCATTTTTAAAAAACTCACCTGGGGAGCCTAGCTAATGGTAAAGCAAAGTCACTGAGATGCTTTGGAGATCCTTACCCTGGATTTCCAAAAATGATTGTCCTTAATTATAAGATTGAAAAGTGTGAATCTGTTCAGCAGATGAACAACTGTTTGCTTCCCATGAATAAGAAAAGCAACTGAAACAGTGTTTGGGACCGGTTCAAACCACCAGGGGTACATCTTCTAGGATTAAGGTAGTTTCTTATTATTTTTAATGAGCCACCTTTTTCTCCTTCAGTGCTATTCCTGCATCTCTTAACATACCTCTTCTCCGTTATCACCTCATTTGAGCTAAAATTCTAAAGATCCTAGTTTACCTGAGTGTTATCTCTTCAGATTGATGGATTCTGATTTTGGGAAAAATGAACGAGGGGCATTCATTGCTTTGTTCTGTTTTGCAGGAGGTACAACAATGATTGCCAGGTGAATGAACATGAGAAGAAAGCCTTCCCAAGGTATCACAATCCTGCCAGATGCTTTGCTTTTTTGTTCCATGCAGCTTAGAGCAGCATCCATTTCAGACAATGCTTTCTACTGAATAGACGGTGCCAGATGCTTTCAGAACTTAGGGCTGTGCCCAAATAATCCAATTATTTTTGTTCTCAGATGCTGAGAACTTAAGGCTGTGCCCAATTAATCCGATTAATTTTGTCCCAAAAGTTTAACTGACAACAAAAAAAACCCACCTTTGAAATCCATATCTGAGTCAAGGTAGATAGAATTTTACCAGTACTCTGCAGCATGCATGGCAATTCAAAAAGTAGATTTTTGTTAAGGTCTTATTTTAACTAATTTGGAAATTCTAATGTTCTATAAAAACAGAAAGAGTACAGACAACAGCATATTTGTTAAGCAACAGTGGTCAAAATGTCTCTACTTCCTTCAAAACCCCCAGTCAATGTTTTCCTTTAAAGTTATGTTCCATGATTCAAGCTCTTGAGAATTTAAGTTCTTTGCTTCTTTGCCTGGCTTAGCCAGCTCAGTCAGGTCTTTGTCAGCAGCTGGGAAGGACTGCAAGTAGACAGCTACCAGTTCATTTAGGACCAAACTGTGGTACACTTACTCGTGATGAGCAGGAACTTACTCTCCCTGCGTTAGTTTTAATAGGAATTCATTAGGAGAAAATGCTGCAAAAATCCAGTGCTTAGTAGACAAATTGATACGTTTACCAAATATCAAACAGGATTGGAGTCTGCAAAATGCAACTCCAAAACAAAAGTTTCAGGTTTCATTGCGGTAGCCAAGAAGGTAACGTTTCCTGATCTCTTGAGAGGAATTCTCAGCATTGTATGCAACTTCAACTTTTTACCTAACAGTACCCTAGAAACTTTAAAATATTCCAATTTTAATGAACAGAAAAAAAATAGTCATGACAAGGGGATAGCTGAAGACTAGCTCTCTTCCCAGCAGAGAAAAACCTCTTGTAATTCTATTTTCCTTCAGTAATGACTTCCTAACAGTCTTTTCTCTCTATTTCTCTCATGTGTATAAAGAGGAAGATAGACATAAAGAGAAACGTTTTACAGAAAAATCATTTGACCCAGGCTCCTCCATGACACAGACCCCGGAGAACCTCCCTGGCAGTGAAACACAGGGAGGAAACAGGTGTGGGAATGAGCCACGCACACACTTCCCTCAACAGTGGCCACAAAACTCAGACACAACAGCCAAACCCCACTCCTGCAGAAGCAATGTCTGTGACATAACACCAAGTAGTGTTGCTGGTAGAACAGCAATAGTGTGAGGAACCTTCTGAAAAATAATAGTAGTGGAAGGTGAAGCAGTATTTCTCTAGAAGAGAGATGGCTAGGGAGAGAAAACAAGTAAAAGCCTGCAGAACCAAAGAACACCACCTGATAATGCTCAAACTACTCAAAAATTGGTATCTCATTGCTGAGTGCAAAGTACTTCTCTGTCTAATGCAGATCATCTTTGTTGTTATGTTTTTGTTAGTCTTCACAGAGCTGCTAAACTCTTACTCAGTTGTGTTCACCTGTAAATTATAGAATGCTTTAAGGATCTTTGATCTGTTGTGTATTTCCACAGCATCTATCAAAATGGAGTCTTGCTTCAAGCCTGGGTCTACAAATAGTGACAAGAGCCAATCTACAGCTTTGCCTGCTGTCACTGATCCCTAGTTTTTCATTACCATATCACAGACTGAGGGGTTTTGCTTCCGTACATTTCATAAATGTTATAAGCAGTTTTTCAAAAATATTCACCTACTGCTTTCTCTTTTGTTGCAGACTGAAACAATGTGCAATATGTTTGCTTTCTAGTTATTCTAATCATTCTATAAAATTTTTATTTTAGACTCCAAGCTAATTTTTATCAGTGATAATGTTTTCTTCTTGTTCAGCATGCTTCTTCAAGCAGTATACAGATGCATAATCTTCACCTCTATTTAAAATCATCCCCATCACCTACGGAGCATAACTTCTAGAAAATCTATGTTCTTTCCCTATTTTGCTTTGCTGAGATCCTCCCGGGCACACGCTGCCAGTTTTTAAAATTGGAAAGGAGATGGACCTTATACACAGATGGTGGATTCTAAACCGTAACAAATTAACTGACCAAACTGTGTAATATTCTCTGCGTTGCAGTATTCACTCCCTGCATGATGATATTCATCACCCACCCTCTTCCTTCCTCCACAGACTCTCAGAAGATTCACACTATATCCATTTCCAGCGCTCCTCTCAGATTCCCCAGGCAAATGCCAATCAAAGCTTCCTTTGTTGGTGATATGTACATTCCTCCATGAGCTATAAAGGGTAAGAATGTCCCAACTTTCTACAAGCTATCATAGGCACGTGCAATATTATTGTCCCATAGTTTATCTTACCATACCCCAGAGAAATCTCATCATCCTGTTTTCTTTATATGGACTACAGATGTCTTAGCCAAGCTTCCTCACCACTGAGTCACCGACCAGAATTGTTTACGTCTTCATAATGAGTCACCTTCAGGATTTGGCTCATTGTCAATACATGGGCTGACGGCTTCAGCTAGTCTCTGTTTTGTCTCATTCTCCTTCATCTTGTCAATGTAGTTGTACCTGTTGGGAGTATGAACACAAAATGGCTCCCTCCTACTTTTCCTTTTGCTTTCTTTATGCCACTTCATGTTGACTGGTGTCACTTTCTATCTCTAGATTGACTGCTGTTCCAAAACTTTGACTTTCATGTTGTTCCAAGTTCCTGTGCCATAGGAAATCCAATTCAGATTTCTTTTTTGCATCCAAGAATATCAGTTGACAGGCAAAAGTGCCATACCTTTGGTCATATGTCAAATTACATTTAATATGTGTCTTTCATCCTCCTTGTTTATAAATAGGAATATTGTGAATATTGCAAATATCTAGGATGCTTTAGAAGTCATGTTGCCTTTTTCCATATGATATCTTTTCACTTATTGGAATGTGTAAATGACTAGGAATTCTGCTGGCCCAAGAACTTTCCTTTTTGCACTATCCATCGCCTTGAAGGTTCACTTTATGAATGCTCTGTATTTATTAATTCTTTCCTTTTCTAATCACTATGTTTAGTATGTCCACTCAGCACCTAACTCCCCCTTAGATCTAAACTCCTTGCAATCAGTGGTTGGCCGGGCTCCCAGAGTTAGTCAGACTCATTTTCTGTTTCACCTTCAGGCTTTCATGTACTACTTCAGAGCTATTATAGTTATGTTTCCAAAACAGCAGAGTAATATTAATATTTTCATTATCTCATTATTTTCTAAATTTATATTGTAAATATGCTTTTATATTAGTTCCTTTCCTTCAAAAGATTACAAACAAAAAATAAAGTGCTTGATAAGGTCCCTTTAAGTGTCTTTCACAATTCCTTTTTTCTAAAGTGGCATTTGCTTTGTTGCATGAAAAACCTTACGGCAACTAAATTGGGGTGAGAGGTAAAATACTGCCATGAATTAGAAACAGGCTAAGAAACCAAAAACAAAGAGTCAGAATTAATAATCAGTTTTCAAGGGAAAAGGTTAACAGGAAGGTGACCAGAAGTGAACCCAGTTTGCCAGGTGGGGGTAGAATATAAAGATGTGAGTAAAAACATTATTGTGTTTAATTATTACTAACAATATAAATAAATCGTACCTAAGTGTTTCGCAACTAAATCTGTGGAAATCACACCCAAAAAAATGTCCTTTAAGGATTCAGTCAGTAACTTCCAACATAAACCTGACTTTTATTCAAACCCGCAACTTTTGTGGATAGAAACATGCCCTTATCTTGTTTTTAAATACCAAAGTGGTTGTGCAAAGGGAAAAATATCTTTGAAGAGCTCCAAATCCTGTGTATACAAGACACAGCTATTCTAAAAAGTGAATCAGTTATTTAATTTTTCAACTTTGTCTACTGATCTTAGCTACAGTTTCTTAGTGACCCACCCACCCAGCCACAAAAAGGTTTTTGTGTCCTCTAGTACCAGTTCAGACTAATGGCCAGCCCTATGATGCTGTTTATTTTTAAATCAATCTAGATAAACAAATCCTTCCATTTGTCATTATTGTTTCTCTTTTTGTAATTAATCCTCTGAGAAGTTACAAATTAAACAGCACTTACTCAACCAAAATGGAAACTTCGTATAATAGTTTCTTTCATAAGGCACAAATCAAATATAAATTCACATTTTTTTGAATATGGAAATACTCGTAGTGATGAAAGTTATACTTAGTACATGTGGAATGTGTGCTTCATTTTTTAAGTGTGGGGTTTTTTTTAAATAACAATGATGCCAGTGAACTTCAAGATGATGAAGTTTAATGGACCCTGGAGCCTGCTCAGATCTAGCTGCCTCAATCCAAATGCTAATGTGCATTCAGAACTGTGAGCAGAAAAACTCAGTGTCTGAAAGACTCATTGCCCTGGTGGGAAATACTATTTGTGCCAGTGAGAGGAGCCGCTGGCTGGTTTATGTGATTGAAGGATTGAGAACATTGGCCCACATGAGGTGTAACTTGGTTGTAGACGGGATTCCACTATGAAACGCTCCCTGATATTATGACTGTTTTTAGACGAGGCCAAGAATAGCGCTGTTTGTATTGCTTGAGCTGCCTGAGGTACTAATAAAGAGAGCAATAGACACTGTGCTGGATTCCAGAGGTGAAGAATGATCTAATAAGAATTTTTTGTTTTCAGATGCTGGACCTCATTTTGATGCTTTTCCCAATGTGGTTCTGGGTAAGAGACCTGCAGTTGTAGCCAGCTAGCTGCTTGTACACTCTGACACACACAACTGTAAAAGAAAGCAGACTCACTATGGGTGTGACAGAGCCAATATCCCAAATTCTGGAGGTTTTCTATTAAACTGCCATTCAGTGAGGATCTTGATGCACTCCTGCCTTAAAAGAAATGGAAACTTGTGAACTCACACTGTTAACAACCAAACAATAACAACAACAACAAAATTTTATTCAGAGTAAGGAAAACACAATTTACACTGGACTTGGCTCCTCTGACAGTATAGGACAAGATAGTCTCAGTCTTGCAGTTTAGCCGAGTGTTATGCTATCCCAAAATCTGGGATGATACATGACCAAAATGTGGAACATCTGTATATTGTTGAGAGCCTCAGCATAATTTTTAATTAGAAGATGTGTTTTGAATGTTTTCTCACTTAGTGTTCTAAATAAACCAGCAACTTTAAAAACACAAAACCCGAATTATTTATGGGCAAACCAATGAAATCCCCATTCCAAAACCAAAACCAGCCCAGCATGAATGCTGACCTCACCTCTGCTACTACAGCTAACAGGAAAACTGATGCATTACTTAGGCTAGGCATAATTAAGAAGATAAAAAGTCTGCTAAAGGATTTTTCAATTATTTGCTAGACATCCGCCAAGGAGAAAGATGTTGATCCGGATTCTGTTCCCAGGCCCAGTAACAGACTGCAGTCTCTAAATAAAGCCTATGTTAGCATGAAGTCCAACCCATAAAAATTGAGAGAGCATAAAAATGGAGAGAGTAGTGTGTAAAGTTGAAAAAGGTCAGGCTGGAGGTGGGGTTACACAAGGGATTGATGTTGTTTACTATTTTGATTAATTCCCTGGCTCTAGAACATGGGAGTACACTGATGAAGTCTGCAGGCGACACAGAAAGGCATACATCAACATACAAGAGGACAAGGAAAACCCACTGAAAGAACTAAATATTTGTGAACTGAAATGAGATGACACTCAGTAGTGAAAATAACAAAACATGCATTGAAGGCTAAAAACTAAAACTCTCATTTGGAAAAGACTCGTAGAGTCTGCTCTGGAACTACCAGATGACTGAAGGAGGCTACAAAAGCAATGCTTTGTAAGGTAACACTAGAGGAAGAGTAGCAAATTCTTAGTGTCCAGCTGCGCAACCTTTGGGAGACCTCATCTGCAGTACTGCATACAACTTGTGTTCAAGGAAAATGAATTCATCACTAGAACAGGTGTAGACATGGCACACTAGGATAGCCAGAGGAATTAATAATCTATCATGTGAGAGGAAACTAAGAAAGTTCTGCTGGTGTAGCCTTATAAAATTAATTTGGAGTGGGCAAGTAAACATCAGGAAAGCAGAATAGTTATATAAGACAACAGACAGGGCTGGCACAATAACAACTCAGCAAGCACTGGTCATAAATTAGTTGAGGCTGGAAACTGAAAGGTGGTGTCTAGCCATTACAGCAATAACCTTCTGATGGAAGATCTGTTCCAGAGTAAAGAGGCGAAAAACATAACTGCTCTTCAGAAAAACTTAGCAAACTATGAAAATAGATGGTAGCTATATTAAAGACCTTGAACAGACAACTGAAGACTTCACTTCCATTCCTATGTTTCTGTCTGATAAATTCACTTGGTAGGATAAATGCCCAGCTGGACACAATGCTTGGTTCTAGAAGCTCTCTGAGGAGAAAAGCTATATTACACAAGCAGTTTTTTCATTGTGACAGTGAAGTCTTCTGTAAATTAGAAGCAGAAGCAAAAGAATAAATAGGCTGACCATTTTCTATGGGATAAGCATGCAGCCTTGCACAGCAGAGGATGCCACTTTGCTATCTGGCCCAGCTAAAAGTCCATTACCTGTCACTAATTTTAACCTGGCAAAAGGAACTCTCGTGTAAGATGTTCAAATCTGAGGACCAAAACTGTCCTCAGGCTGTCTAAAATAGTGCTTGACTAGTCTGAAATGAAGGTGAACTCAACATTAAAAAGTCGTACTGGTATAACTGAAAAAGTATTGAATTAAAGGTTCAACTTTTTGTTTTATACACTTTGGGTCTCCTTAAAAGGCTCCTGAGGCTCCTTGTAAGCTGACATTAGTTTCCTACTTAAGCTCCTCTGACAAACAGGTTTCTCAGGAAATTTCAAGTTATATAAATGAGTATGGCTATAGTTAAGCAGGCTCACAGAAAAGTGCTCTAGAAACATTTTCTTCCAAGTTTACTTGGTCTGCATGGTGGGATATATGCAGGAAATCTCTTTGAAGAAAACAGACTGCTACAGCCATCATCTCTACTGAAGAATATTGTCTAATCCAAAAAGATGCAGGAAAAAAGCAACTGGGATAAAATGATGTTTAAAACAGGTTGCATCAACGATACTTTCTATCATCCATAACACAAGTCCATTTTCTTAACATTGTTAAAGAAGGGAAGAAAGTCATTCTCATTCCATACATTTTAACATTTTCCTGTGTCTAATTAAGTCGTTAAATTTAAGCAATAGGTTCTGGCTGAAAGTTCCATATTTTCATTTGAACTCCTGAAGAAATTAATCACAGAAGAACCCTTAGATCTTACTTCACTGAATTCAAGCAAAGTCAGGATTCCTTCAAAACCCACAATTCTTTCATAAGCAGTGGATTAAAAATATAAACATTGGCTTATTTCTGATCTTTTGCATTACTAAGATTTTGTCCTACATGCTCAGATCATTCATTCATTCAAAAAAATACATGCTTAGTTACTGTTCAAAAAGTGGATTAAATCCTTTAACACATTATTACTGCACTGCCTCAATAAGCCCTTAGTTTACCAAAAAGGATATTTACTGTAAATATGGTACTAGAACCAGCTGCATCACATTTACCCAAAAAGAAAACATACTGGATTGTTTAGAAAAAGAGGCATGATACAGTGGTGATTGCTTTCCCCTATACTTCTGAATTAAGAGGTTGAAACACTGTGCTTGAAGTCCCATAAAGCTTGGTATGCCTTGGGAACAGCACCCCTAGCTTAATTTGGGCCAGGCTCCTTTTTCTACTTTGCAGGAACAAAATGAGACTTTAACAGTTCCAGGAGCCTCTAGGTAGTTGCAAACTGAGGCCTCTAAAGCATTCACGTGGGCAGAGCTCAGCCCACAGTATAAAGCATATTTTAGGGAGACTGACTTTTAGAACAAGATTGGAGCATCTCCCCTCCTACCAATGCAGAAATAAAAACAAACCACTTTATTCCCCTCTCTCACAGTCTCCTATACATAGTTTAAGAATTATGAGACCCTTCTTGAAGTAATACATGCAAGTGAATTGCAGTTGTGAGATTCACATCATTTAGAGATGTCCACGACTCACAACAAGTCAAAAAAGATAAGCATTTGGAAAACACAGTATAAGAGTAAGAGTGCAAAGAGTAAGTTTCATCATAAACATTGTGGAGCTATGTAGTATTTGGGTACAAAAGGAAGAGAAGCCACCCAGCATCCTCATTCACCCCCAAAATAATAGGGTTTCAAATCCCATCATGGAGCAATTTCATTGATTCGTGTCATGCAGAACTATGTAGCTCAGGGCTTTTAGCCAGGAAATTCTGCAAATTTGTCCTCAGATTAAATGGTGCCATGCAACCCAGTCACATTACAGCTTTATTTTGAATGCTTGCACTTGGCAATGCCTCTGGCTGAAGATGTCTTGTATTTTTTGGCTCCTGCAGAGTTCGTACTAGAAAAACATTTTGGCACAATTGGCATCTACTGTTTAATCTCTTAAAAGGGTACGGAAATAAAATCCCTTTAATTGCTCTTAGGTATGCATATGTCTTGAAATGTTTAAGACTAATTTTTATAACATGAACTAAATATACAGCCTGAACTAACTTCCTATCCAGCCAGGATGATCTTTCTAGATCAAAGATGAGGATGCAGAAAGAATGCAATAAAATTGCATCAGAAAAGAAGCATAGTGTCTGGCATTGCTATGCAGGGGTTAAAGACATGTCTACATGGCAGCCAAGAAGTACGATTTAAAGCTTGTTTGAGGATGTGTGCACAAGCTGCAACTAGCTGGTCAAGTGATGATAAATATATAGCCTTAGCAGAGCAAGGTGCGGACTGAAAACTTAATCTGAAAATTTGGGCAAATATTTAGGTGGCTAACCTGCACTGAACTCCAAGCTACCACAGCTGACACTTTAGTTGTAGGATTTAAATTCCTATCTAGCCATAACGACTAAAAAAATTCTGACAAGACTTTGTTCTAAGCACATGACGAATTCAAACAGTGGGAGTGAAATGGGGAATGGGGGTGTTACTGGACCTTTTCATCTGAAACTCTGTTTCATCAATAAAGCTAAACTGCTACGTTTCCATGATACTCATGCTTCTAGCAACATCTCTGCCTTCTCTGATTTCTTGTTGCAGTTGCTGAGCGGTATTTGGAAAGTGTTCCTGGACTGGGGTTTTTCATGAGAAATTTCAGAGAAGAGTTTAGACGTGCTCTTCCTTAATTGACTGGATCCACAGACTGAAAAACAACCTTGAAAACCTGGAATAATAGTGCCTGCTTGCTTCAACAGACCCACCCATGATTGTGTGCTTTAATTTTTCAACAAGATGTGGAGGTAGGGCCTGAGGAAACCCATAAAAATGTTTGGTTTGGCTTTCTGGCAGTTTTCCCCAGCTAGAGCGCATGAAAAGCACTGAGGATGCAAGATCCTGCTAAGTTTCCATAGAGTGCCTGACTCGAACACCACAGAACATTCTGTACATCCCGGAGCGGAGGATCATATTGCTCTGCTCACTCTGGGGACAGCAACAAGCAGCAGCAGCAGCAGGTCATCAACTGGAAACTGGAAAGCTGCCATCTTTTAATTAGTTGCTCTCTACTTCATAGTAATCCTATTTAAAATCCTATAAAACACAAGGTCAGGTTTGCTGTACAAGCTCAGATAATGCCAAGCTAAATTTTTAATCATGTAATTAGCCAGAAACACCTTTTTAGATGGAATAAATATCATCTCCTCATTAAAATTAGGGACTATAATACATGGCCAGGTTCTGTTCTTTCCTATTCTTAATCATTGTCCAGATGAACGAAAATGTTTCCCAACTGACTCTGGATTCAAGAACCACTTTGTTTTAACTAAAGACAACTGTATTCTGTACAACTTAACCTCAAATTCCATGTAGACAGTCGTTCAGGTACAAGAACCAAATTCTCATTCCTCTTACACCCTATGCAAAGGTATTTTAAGCTACTCCAGTTTTCAGTGATGCCAACCAAGCTGCTTTCACTGCAATCACTGGATACATTTTAAGAGCAAATAATGCTACCTCATACAAACTATATGCAAGACCTTAAAGCAAAGGATATCAAAGGCATCAAAGTCTTATCGTCATTTCACAGACTGTTGCAGAACTGAGTAAGAAAGATTAAGTGTTAGTCACACAGCAAATCAATTCCTGATTCAGGAGCAGAACACGGGTCTCCTGACTGCTAATCCAATAGCATGGAGGAAAATGTTGTCCTCATCTGGATCTAAAAGGAAGATTTCTCACATCTGGTCCCTTCCCCACTTCCACCATCATACCACTTCGCTACTTGTTCAGGATGCTGGGTTGAAATGTGCTCCTTGCTGTGGCATGAAAAAAAAAAAAGGAAAAAAAAAAAAAGCGGTAATTTACAGTGGGTGGGTTCATATTAATACAAATTAATAAGGTTCTTCTGTAAATATGCTGCAGTATATTGTGTAATATAATATAATCCTAGTAATCTGAGCCTTTGCTACAGCTCTCTGCTATTAAATCATTGCCAAAAAGTGGGGAAAAACTGCCAACCTTATGTGCAAATTATGAAGTGTGTAGATTCACAAGATTCTGCCTTATTGACAAAAGTAAACTCTTTTTGAAATAGACTGATTTAGATAGTCGA